CTCTTTATGTTTTCGAGTCCTTCGGATGACCTTCTATGTATTTATCCTACATGGAGCACTGCACTCCAAACGACAGGCTGCGCTATGCTAAAGTCCATTTAGCCGCTATTAAATCGTCGGAAAGCAGGTTCTTCCTCAACGGTGTGCAGGCAAATTTTTATTTTCTCCTGACGTCGGGAGTACAAGAGGTCTGCAATCATTGTCGTCACAGTCAGTTTATTAAATAACAGGCTACATTATTTTATGCGTCGTGTTTTGCAGGAGGTGATACGCAGGCCTATATGAAAGGAGCTGTGATGCTTCACTCGCGCCGCTATAAAACGACCGGCTCAGTCGATGCTAGTATGGCGGATGACTAATTAAGGTAATTTATCATAGATAAATTACGTAAAATGTGCTTTATTAAATGCCACACTTGCTTCTGCGGTTTTATAACCATGAGCTAGTTGTGCTGCAAACTTGTTATGAGGATGTAACTTTTTTTAAAATCCGTTAGATAAGTTTTGGGAAAAGTCAGCCAATCAGCATTTCTGAAAACGGGTGTTAAACAAGTTCTGTGTATATAGCAACCAAAAGGCCTACATAAATATACTCCACAAACAGCTGTGATGTAGCCCTATGTCTTCTTAGTTCATATTTGGTTTAGCATGTTTCAAATTTTATGTCAGTTCTTAAAGAAGCCAGTCCTTAACGTGAATTCTGACCGAATTACTGTGATGTTTCTTGTTTTCCAATAATTCCAAAAGTGTAAAGAAAAATACACAACAAAGGGTGCATTTAAAAGAACAATGTACTATATACATAAGAATATGTTGGCTGAAATGATGCGTCGAAGTTGTAAAAACAACTGAATATGGACAAACTGAAGTGAGGAGAAAACGTCATGAGAGAAGACAATCTCCAGGCTAGAGGAAACAGCCGGCATGTGTTTTTAATGCTTATTAATTTAACACGATCACGCTACAGTAATCTAGTTAACCGAGTCAAATTCCAGGTGTTTTAACTGTACTCGAAAGTTTGGATCGGTTGCAAGTCATCCATGTATTAAGCGAACACATTGTTTCGGACGTTAGGTTCACTTCCCCATGAGAATGGTTTTCCCCCCAGCATTAGGCCTAAATCAGACAGAAAAGGCTTAAATCTTTATGACCTGTTCCAAGATTTTCGAAATGAGTAGCCTAACAGACTAAAATACCCTTACAGCTCACAGTTTTACAAAACAAGACTAATGTTTCGTGTTCGTGGAGAAGCTGAACGATTAAGTCATATGTAATCGGATGTCCGATGCTGAGGTAGGCAGCATGCCCCGCATTTGCGCTGTTTTCCTCCCGGTACTTCGGGTTACTCCCACATTAAAGTAAATCGGTGAGTCAGAAACGCCCTGGCGTAGGTGGAACCTGCGATAACCTCCACACGAACGTAGTGAAATAAGCGGTTATTAACCCCATGGACTCCACCAGTCACCCTCTCTGTGGTTAACCCCACTTAGTTGGAACCGACCCAGCAATCGAGTCCATTCAAGTCACGCCTCCCAGGTGCTTTTGGATGAGAAGCCTATGTGATAGTGTCCGGAGCGGATTAACAAGCTGCGGGCTTTTTGCGGCCGTCACCTGCCGCGCTGCGCTACACTACCACGTTATCCGCTAAAGCCCTGTCATTTCACTCCAGTAATCAGTGTTTCGCGCACGCCGGGTGTTTTTGACCAGCGCGTTCCCGTGCTGTCCGCGGGCTTCGGCCGCACTGAGGCGCGCTTTAATCGGTCAATAAACAGCGATAATTGATCTCTCTAAGTAAATATCTGCCCTCACTATCCGACAGTTAGATTTCTCATACTCGCACGACTTTCTATGCGACCGATGATCTCATTGTGAAGCTTCCAGCTGCTAGAAACCATACACAGGGGAAAAAAAATGTCAGTGTAAAACGAACGGCGTCAGTATCAAATTATTACTGCGTACTTTGCCACGTAACTGTTTAATAATGCATTAAAGCGTTGAATATGCGTAGCGTAATAACCTAACGCCCCGTTATAAATCTAGCAGGCATTTACATATAGGGTAACGGTATGATGTATGTGGTCGTGGAAATGGTCCCTGATTTGTCTTTTATATTATAGGAGGCCAGATTTGTCGATACGATGACAACCAAGTGCTGTCTCATTTCCCATATCGCTTTGCTGTCCAGTTGACAGTGCATAATTCCTTACAACGTACCGGTTTTTATTGAGGTTACACTCGGAGGACTTCTTATCGAGGGACAGTTTCTAACTTTTATTGTGTACTCCGAACTTCAGTACTTCCATATAGCCTACCCATGCGGGGTTCACTGTTTCATATTGCTGTTGGTCTTTCCTTCATTGTCCTTGAGGGCTCTTGCTTTTTCGTTTAAAGGAATTCATCATTTTAAAACTGTGGTCGTCAACGTCAATTGCACTGACGATGGATCTTTATGAATCACAAGCAACTGAAGACCTCTGTGTGGTCTACGACCGTTTATCTTTGTCACCACGTTAACGGTGAATATATCGTGTACTAATGCTTTTATTATAACATAAGAATCTTATGTTGTTTAAAGACTAATTGCTGTTTGTTCAATCGTACAAATTGTGATTAAATGATTTTACGAAATCTATTACTGAAATAATTTTCTAAATATCTAAATAGTAAAATTACATTGTGTAGGCAATGTGGAATTCAGCAATTAACACATTAGTGACCAGGTCACTCCAGAAGGTCTTGAGATCCAGGTGTATCACATGGCTGTGGACTTTGACCTCTACTTAAGCAAAGAGCTGTGGTGATTATTGTAAAAAGTGGGATATGTGTAGATGTCCTACACCAGAAGAGATGGAAACATTCAGCCCTGTGCAACAATGCAAACCACAAATTCACATTTATGATGCTTCCTCTATTCATTAGTGGGCAGATTGGTGGCTTTGAGGATAGGGCTCTGTTTTAGTAATTGCAAGGTTACTGGGTCAAATCCCATGAATACCACAAGTGGTCCTACTCTGTTAGGCCGTTGAGTGACGTCCTCCAACTTTCAGAAGAATTTGGGGGTTGGTGGCAGGATTGGCACTCCAGCCCCTGGAAAAAGCACAAACTGGCCCATTCGGATTAGTGTGGTGCTGGGGTCTCACCCACCGCATGGCTGCACTCAGGTTCTCATCCCTGAGGTGGTCTGTCGTGGTGGGTGCTGCAACGTGCTGTAATCAGTGTGTGCTCCTTACCTCTCCATTCATTCATTCGCTTATTTGTTTATGTGTTAAAAGAATCATTTCACAGCATCAAGCATATATATCATTTGCAAAAAAAAAATCCACCCTGGATATTTGCAATAATTAGGCTATATTTTAATTATAAACATAACTAGAAATAATAGGCCTGTTAATAGTACTGGGTTTGTTGCATTATTGCACTCTGTACCGAGCTGGTCCAGGATCAGCCCTTTGATGGACATTATTGTTCTAGATACAGTAGCAACGTGTAGAAAAACGGTTGGTTCAACTCAAACACTGCAAACCATTTGAAAAAAATTAATACATTCAGCCATATATGTGTTCCAATATACACCAATCTATACCGGCTTGTCCTAAGCGGGGTCGCGGAAGCAATAGCAGCAAGGCAGGGAATAACCCAGGACGGGGCGCCAACCCACCGCAGGTTTTCCAATATAGCCTATCAATGATAAAATAAATATATATAATAAGGAAATAAGGTGGTTCATTGGGTAACCCTGTTGCTTGAGCCCCGCCCCCGTGGTTTATATTCCCTATTCTCCCCTCCGTTCTGTTTGCATGTTCTCCTTGTATCGCGAGGGTTTCCTCCAGGTACTCCGGTTCCCTTCCTGAATTTCAAAGACATGCAATTAGGTGAATTGTAGTCTCTAAATTTGTGCATTCATGTGGCCTCAGATGGACTGACAATCCCGTCTAGGGTGTACTATCTTATTCCCTATAAAGGAGGCCCTACACATAACCTAATCCAGCATAATCAACTGGAAGGTGGGTATATGCATACATTAGCGCCTCATTCATTAAACATACGTTAAAGTTTATATTCACTAATATCCGTCAGTCAAAAAAACATAGGCGTTAAAGAGTTAAAGTCCTCCGTCAGACAATCCTATGGCCCAAATTTAGGTGATTATCCTGCTCTAGCCGTACGGAGTTAAGGATATCAGTCTTTCACAGCTCATACTTCCATGCAAACCCACACTGCAAGCCACTGCAGGCTGTAATCCCAGTCAGCTTCCCGTAGGCTACTGTCACCTGATATCAATCACAATTAAAGCAGCAGCCATCAATAACTGAACATTAAACATTTCAGCGACGATTTTCCAGCGGGACATCGCACAATGTTGCTATGCGACAGTTTTCCTTCTGTAGCCTAAAGTAGGAAACGCGCGCGTCCATACCGGGAGTCTAACTACAGTCGCGCCATTAGGCATGTAAGACCACGGTGCATCATTGTCGCCAGTAAAAACTAGTACTGGTTAACGGACTTATAAGACATGAATATTCAGTGGTCTACCTTCAAAAGGCATCATTTCGTAAAGATATTAAATAAAATTGTAATAACACTCAACCCTGGGAATAGGCTTGTAAAAAATTTAATTCATTTCATTTAGACAAGGATGACAGCTTTAACATCCATAAACAATAAACGGGGCACTGATTTCTGAATTTAAAACTGAGGTCTGCGCGCTTTTTAAAACGTGTATTTTATTGATAGTCACCGCACGGGACGCCGGCTGGTTTGTCAGATCTTTCGCCCGTTTTCCCGTCCAAGGCCGCCCCCCCCCAGTACTGTTCCGCACGTCGGTGGAGCGGAGCGTGCAGAAGCTTTATGGTAATTGCGGTTCCCCGACTGGCCTTCTGGGTAGCGCCTGTCGGTGGGAGCGCGTCGCTCTCGGCTCTCATTCTCCGCTGTGCGCTCGGAGACGGCGGTTGCACTTTAGCGTCTTAACAGCACGGAGCGGCGGAGACCGAGGGTAAGAGAACTGAAAGGGGGGGGGGAAGGACTGAGAGACAAAGAGGCAGGCAAACCTACACAAACAATAGGGAGAGGAGCATTAAAGCGGAGATGGTGTATCGGAGACGTTTTTAAGGAGCGGGTGAATAGGCGGGTGTATTTTAAGCAGCGTGTTCGGCGCGAGCTGTAACCCAACATGGCGCTGCGAGGCATTTCCAGGCTGAATTAACTGCTGGAGTCCAAGGACCGTCGCCACCTGTACCCTTGAATAATACACAAGGATTTAACCGCGTTTGGATCTAGGAATATAGGCTGTCCGTCTGGATCTCTAATTTTGCTTCGGATTTCTGAGGATGTCTATCTGCCACTTCTATTTTCAGCAGTTTTTCCCCACTGGAAATACACCCGAGACTTTGGATTGCTACAAAAAGTATACTCAATTTCCTTTATCAAAAGAGTTAATGAAATCGCACCGTCCCGCCGGTTTATTTTCTTGAATAATCTTTAAAAATCGGCTTAATCTACGTTTTGGTTTTTAAAACGGGCACTCTTGATCGAGGAAGGCGTCCCGAATACTGACTGGGATGTTTGCGCTTTGTGAAACGTAAACAGGATCGCGTCTGCTTTGAACTATTGGTGTAGGAAACTTCGGACGGGAACATATTGAACAGCTTGAAGTGCGATTTGCGTTGGATTTCGACGCCGAGAGTTCGGAATAGATTCAGGTAACGTTTCTTTTCATTTTACGTATGAAGGTTGGTTATATCTTTGGGGTTCTTTTTCATTTTCTTAGCGCTGCAACTGTGTGATATTTAATAGTCCGAATCATTGTCAGTCGGGTACTTCTGAGAGGAACTGAATAGGATTTACGAGCATCTGCGACATTTGTGGGCCTCCCAGACACTTTGTTAGTGCCGCGTTTCAGCCGCACAAAAAGTTGAGGCAACCCCCCAGATTGTCGCGTTAACCAGCACGTTCACTTTGTCTGTTTATACGCGGCAGTGGAAAAAACATCGCAAAAGCGTGGCCTGCATAGGACATCAAGGCAAGGAAATGGAACTGAAATGTTTTATTCCCCGTTGACAATGACGAGTAATTTCCAATGTCGTGACGGGGCTTCCTGGAGTGTAGGATTAATTTTTATTCAGTTTAAGAGTCTTCGATCGTACAAATTAAATCCATTTTTCATGTAACAACTATAGTTTAATTGACATCTTTGAATTTGTGTTGGATTACTCAGAAGACGCGGGATATTCGAGTTGTTGGCTTACGATGATAAGTCCCCTGGCCGAAGATAACACGAGGTTACGGATCCGAGCCTCGCCCTGTTTATGGTAATGTGCCGTTTAAATACGCATTTGCAGTTGGGCGCTGTGGGAGGGCATCCCCGTGCTGCTGTCTGCGCGTGAGTGGGAGGAGAGAGGGGGGTGCGGATCCCTGCCTCGTGGGGGTAGAGTGTGAGATTCGGGTTAAATAGGCAGACTGCGGCAAATACGTGACTTCTATGCTGAAGACTTCCCCGCCCCTCTCTGACACATACACATCATCTAACTACAATGAGAAATTGCTCAGCATGACACGCATAAAGCTAATCTGCGATTTCTGCATGCTTGCATGCTCGATTGGTTCAAAATGTCCGAGGAATTCACCACACCGAGCCTCCTGATTATAGATCGTGAAGTACTTTGTGGCGCTTGGGCGTTTAGTTAAGGGCGTATTGCGTGACATTAAAATGACTCCGTTCAGTCTTTCGGTGAACGCTGGCCAGACGTTAATTGGGATCCTGGATCCTGCTTGCGGGGTCGCTTTGTTTTCCTTTCTTATTAATAATTGAATAATGGAGCAGGATCTTGTGCGTTGAGGCAACTTTCTCACGCACTTGTTCATTACATGGAAATTATTAGCAACTGGGTGATTGTGGAAAATCGGTTCCGTAAGAGTTTATTAGGACACCATTTGGTTTATAAACTATGACCACCTGGACTGACAAAACCACAAATTCACGGTCGGTAGTAGTCGCTAAAAATTCTTTTGAATAGTCCTTGGATGTTTGTTAAATGATGTGTGTGTGTGTGTGTATGTATATGTGTGTGTGTATTTATAGGTATATATATACACACACACACACATCACTTTAACAGGTAACACGGTGCTTTTACTCGAGTTGCCTGTAGTAGCCTAATTGGCTGAATGCACAGGTCTAGTCTTAATGATGTAAAATGCCTTAATTGCACTGAACATTTGATTTCTGAGTAGATTCATAAATATATTATGTAGTTGCTTGCCAGATTGGGGTATTTATTATTTTCTGCCTTAAACTTCCTTTCCTCGCCCTCTGCTCGTCATGAAACGTAGTAGAGGTTCATTGTTAGAAAAATGGGCTGCCGCGAGCTAATTAAACCAGACGTGTTTTTTTTCTGTGAATCCCGAGGGACAACAAACACCGGTAGCGTCCGAATAGCGCGGCTTGGCTCCGCTCCGCAGACCGTATTCATGGTGGTGACCTCACTGCATTCGGCTAAATTTGGACGTATACGTGCCGAGAATAAATCATCTTAAAATCAGGCACCGGGAACTGGAGGTGGTTTTACAACCGTGCAAGCATCAACGGTGGATGATAAACGGTACATCTGATAATTTCGGCCAGATTTGTCTCAAATATTAATTTATTAGCCTGTACTTAATGGTTCGGCAGAGAAATTCTGTAAAATAGTTTTCTGACAAGTGTAAACTCGTAACGCTCACTTTAGTAGCGCTCTATACGTTTTGACGTGTAATTGCCATATTTAACACTAAATGTATGATAAATTGAGTATATGTTCGTAGTCTTGAGCATAATTATAATGCTGCGGGTAACTAGGTGCATTATCCACGATGTACGATTTCATAAAGTAAGGGCTGAGTTGCCGTGAACTTGGATGTTTATAGCCCATGTATACTAAAGAGAGACACAGAAATCTTTTCGATTGTTCGCTGAAACGACTGTCTTAAATGTTTATTGGAATGTAGAGGCCGACGAGAATCGCGTATCGTGATCCTGGAATAAATATGCCGATATTAGGACGCGTGTTAGTGCGCGTGCAATAGCTCCCATCAGGATGTAAGAAATGCGTGTAAATAAAAGCCAACGTTGGACACTGAGACTGAGGGATCGGATTTCAATCGGCTCCGGGAGGAGACGTCATGGTTTTATTGAAGTTGCACTCGGGCCAAGTCTCCCCCCGGGACGGCTGCTCTGAAACAGGAGAGCTCTTCCCCCACCCCCACCCCGCTCAGAAAGCCTTTGTGCGGCGGGGGCTCCGCGGACACGGATCGCTGCGCGCACAGGAGGACGTAACAGCCTCCGCCGGCGTCCTGATCTCTAAGCTGCATTCTCACCCGGAGCGCTGAACTAAACCCTGGGCGGTCCGACGATGGCGCGCCTCCTGCGCTGTAGCTGTTCTTAAAAGACTGGCAGTGCACTCGTGAAAATGTCCCCAAAATTAGCTTAATTCTGCATTGGAATACGCCTATGTTTTTAAATTCCATAAATTTCCTTTGTGGACCATTAAGTATTTAATAAGTTTTAGTAGTCGTGTAGGTTGAATTATGTGCGAGCATAAAGTCCGTGATTTTGGGGTGGTGTCGCTTAATTTAAGGTTTCTGCCTGTCTATATATAACACGTTTTGCTCAGTCTGAATTGGCAGCGGGCTAATAGTGCTCTAATTTAGTAACGTCACGGCCCCAGATATTAAACGCTGATGAAATCCATCTGAAATGCGGCCACACGCTGCAAAGCACGCAAAACATCAATTAAGTTCCATCGCGTTACACTGATGTACACAACCGCCACCCTCCCTCCCTTGGTTTCAATGGCTCACTTTTCCTGATCGCGTATTACCATTACGATTTTTTAGCGTTAATAATATTGAATACATGTAGCGTGTAACCTATCCAATCTAATATGCCTACTTATTCTTGGTCAATTATTCAGAAACTGTTTTATATACATGTAAGAAATAACGGCTATTATATAAATAAAATAGTTAGCCTATAGCCTATGGATACACGGTGGATATTTTAAAGGATGGTCATATGAAAATATTTCAACTAATTTTTTTGTATGCTGAATTAACGTTGTGTGTTTCAGACTATTTGTTGCGTTCAGCTGCGGTCATGTAGCCTACATGTTTCTGGGTTTAATGTAATTGTGAATGTTTCCGCTAACTCTTTGCGATCCGTGGTCAAGGATGATCTGTTTACAGCCAGCACAAATAAAACAGCGGCTGTAGCGACGGCTGGCCCCATGCCCTCCTGCTTCACGGACCCCTTCCCAGGACCTCCGCTACGCAATAACCCCGTTAACTAATTTAACACATTTTCATCATCGTATTCTATGACATAAACTGCCGATCATAAACGTCCGATGGGCCATTTTGGGTTGGCCAAAAGTACGTGGAGGTCGGCGATATCGTTGATTTATTTATTTAGCGGAGGCTTATGTCCCAAGCGACTTAAAAATCTAGGCAGGTCATAAATCTCCAGGATACGGCTGTCGGTGAGCTAACTAGGCGTAAGTGCGACTAGGCTGAGCTGCCGCCGAATCACCAGCGTACAAGTTAGCATCAGAACATGAGCTAGCCTATACAATAGATTAAAACATGGCAAGAATCTAATAGGACATCTTTATCATTTAAAAAAAAAAGACCTAATTAAGACTAGGTTTCTACGATAAGTTGACGCTGTCTGGAAAAGACTCCCACGAGGCTTGGCCAATTTCTGATATTTGGAATATTAGATGTTCCGGGCTTTCCTTTAGGCTTACATTTAAAAAATACATGTGTGAAGTTGTATTGATCCACGATTTAAGATTTTCTCTTAAATCTGAAAATGGAAAGTTTTCGGCTACAAAATAGCGGGCTGCCGTGACTTTCAATGTTTCGTTTTATTTTCGAACCAGTTTGTTATGTTTTATTGGGACAAAACGTACAATATATTTGTGCAGGGTAATGCTGTTCTGTCATATCTAGGCCTACGTAAATAAATGAAGCCATCCTGATTATAGTATGCATATTCCTGGGTATAATCAGATGTTCACGCCCTTCTCCGCCTACAATTTCATTATGACCGTCAAAGTTTACTGGCCCTTAAAAAATACTGACTTTAGTGTTCGTTTTATATTCGTATAAATCTCGAATTCAGCAAGAAAACATTCAGAAACGCAATACTGCTTGCCTCATTGCTCCTTCTGTCCTGAGGTGGATTTTTGTGGAAAAGTAGCCTGCTATTTTTGGCCATCGGACCCTGTCTATTTAAGACAGAGTGGGCTGTCCCTGTTTAATAAGGGAGTCATTTTGATAAGCACAGAAGGGAAAGTTTGGCGCTTTTCCACCGGTATTCAGGGACAGACCCGTACCCGAGCCGTGCCGCAAAGAGACCTAGCTAGAGCGCGCCTCCAGCTTGCTTCGGTTTTCCACTGCAGGAGGGTCAGCTCAGGCAGGTTTGGAGAGCGACCGTGACGTAAAACTGAAGAGACGCTTATTTACTGTTCACACTCTGTACAGCATGAGTTACTATGTGCATTTTTTTTCCCAGCGCGTCTGTTATGTTGGAATCACACGCTAGCGAAATTAGCATCCTCTTCTTAAATGTGCATTAAAAATCCATTCCGATCAGCTGTTCTATATTACTTTTTAAGTGGGCGGTTGGAAATTTTCAAGTTTTGAGTTATCAGTACTGCATCAA